AAACAAAAACATTGCTTTGATCAGAAAATATTTATAGATTTATAGATAGAGATATGTCTCAAAAATTAACATCTTAACGAATCGTTGTAGCATAGAGTTTAAGAGCTATGTACCGAAGAAAAACAAAAACCGACGTATATTATTACGCTCCTTCAAATTAATTCTTACCTGCATACTTTAAGTCTTTTGATTATAGAAGTACAAATATTTGATAAAAATAAAACTAATGTGTGTAAAAATTAAGTTACAATGAAACATTTTTTCCTTATTTTATTTATTTTATTAATTAGATTACCAAACTGTTTATTTTCATGAGAAAAAAGTACAATAAAAAATAAAAAAATTCAATTGAGAATTGTCTATTTTAATATAGTTTAATCGATGATATTTTATTTAAGCATAAATTTCAAATTTAATTTTTTTTGTTGTGCTTCGAGTTTATGTGCACTTTTAAATTTGACTTGATCTTGCTTGTAAAACTACAATAGGGACATTTGTACACTGCCATGAATCCTGAAACATACAATGAAATACATTTATCATAAGAAAATAAAAAATAAAAATGAATTTTCTAGAATAATAAACTGGTATTATTCCATCGTCTTAGGGACTTTTTACTGCTCGTACAGTATTTCTACAGTTTGCACAATTCTTTTTGTTGCGAATAGTAATAGGTACTACTGCTTCACAGCCGCCACTTATAAAATCATGTAATTCGACTACCTCGAAAACTTTACATGCGATAGGGCTCCAGTTTGATTTTCAGCTATGTTTTCGTACCACACCACAAGCTGACAGTTTCAAATCCAGAAATTTAGTTGGAAAGAAAAATGTTACCGGTTCCAAGATTGCATAACTTTGAGAAATTAAAATCAATTTTTGCATGTGACTTTTCAAGTGGATATTTTAGGTCAACACAGTCGAGATAAAATATAGAGCTTAAAAAAATAGAATTTAAAAACACCTTTTTAGTTTTTTAATCAATTTCAAAACTCTGAGAAAAAAAATGCCAATACATAGAAAATACACTGTTATTTGCGAGTATGATAAGGTAGGTATAAGTTATTTTTTTCAAATTAAAATATTTATTAATATAATTAATGGTGACATGTATTGTATGTTCTTTATTTACATCTCTGTCCATGGAATATCGGATTCCTAGAATTTTTTTTTTAGGAAAAATAAGTTTTAATTATTAGTTTTATTCTCTATTGTTTATGTACAAAATAATCTTCCAAGTAATTTTTTCATCCCAGTTATTATTTATTATAAAACAACTTGTTCTTGACATTAACGGATATCCTGATAATTAGCTGGATGACGTTGTTTCATGCTAGAGAATCATGATCGAAAAGTACGTGCAACATAAAAGTATTAGCATTCATCCGTAGCATTGTGTTTCACAAGCCACTTGCTCCCCGAAAGAATAAAAGTCAGCCATTACAGGGACCCTTCATTTTATCCGTATCGCCTCCTTTTGTTGAAAAACAATTTTTGATCCTCGCTTCGAAACCGCTTGCTTTCCGTAAATATTTACACTTACCTCCCCAAGGCATCGTCAACGATAACCCAAATTGTATGGACAAACCAACTTACTTCCAGAGCTTGGCTTGAGGGACATAAAAAAAAAAAAAAAAGGAGCAGTAGGGCGTAAGATGTATAAGAGCATACGCCACTTGGCTACGCAAATTAACGCCGAGCACGAGGTAGCGGTGGAACCAAGAGAAGGGAAAATTAAAAGAGATGCCGTTGAGAATAGCGAATGAGCGCTCCTCCCCCCCTCTCCCTCGGATGAGCCCAAAGTTTACAGTGAGCCGAAGGTAACTACTTTTTTCTCGCCACTCTCATGCACAAGATGAGAAGACAGATTGTTTCATTAACGAAAAGTTTTCGAAACAAGGTAGAACGAAAAACTAATGGGTGCCAACTTTCTTGTATTAGCCCGTGTGGAGCGCGTATTTGCAAAAATAATTTTGTTCCTTCTGAAGGTAAGTCGGAGTAACCCAAGGGACGAGTTGAAGGATTGTAATAAACAATGTCAACCTATGGTCACACTCCCAACAGTTATAAATAACACGTAGTTGATATTTTCATATTTCGGCCACAAAATTAACATTTTTTCATGATTTTACATTCAAGTAAACAATGTACTGGCAAAGAGCTGCAACGGTGTGATTGAGCTTAAAATTTTGCATTTATTTATGCAAATGGTAGCGCGTTGGATTAGTAATGGCGTATTTATAATTTACTTGGACAGATTACCTCCATTACATTTTAATCAGTATTTCACGGAAGTCTGTGTGCTTGCTCTTTTAACTTGTTGTCCCCTTTGATTTGATGCTCCTCTTACCACATTTACTTATTTTCTCAAAAACCAGATAATTTGATTTACTTTGATGGTTGAAATTCACATTTTACTACATAAATTGTAATTACCTCGAATGTTGAAATGAATGCAAAGCAAGGGAAATGTTGCAGGCTCAACTATAGTTATATTCCCTTTTTAAAGCTTTACCTGCTATTATTTAAAAATATGCAGTAACTTATAAAACAGTTTTCCTTTTTTCTTAGAATTAATTAAATAAAGAATAACGCGATGTTGTATAAATTCCGAGGTCATGGGAAGATTCATTATATTTTGTTACGGAGAACCTTACACAGAAAAAAATTTGCACTTTTCATCACATTAATTTGTTGTAAATGAATAAGAATCTTGGTCATTAAATATCTTGTGATTATTATTTTTTTGATATACGTGAAAGCTAGCAGCAAAAAATTTTTTTACTCCCTCGCAGCAAATGTGTAACATAAAATTATTTTTAGTATTAGCGGCTAAAGTNAACAGTCCGTCTGAAAAAAATTACAATTAAGTAATTTTAATTTACGTAAATCAGGTTATAGTAGAAATAATAACAAAGAGTACTAAAAATAATAATAACCTTTTTCGTGGATACTCCAAATATGTTGAATCATTGCGATCTTATGTTTGCTTTTGTACTCACAATGCTCGCAATTAAATCGCCGTTTGTTGTTACATTCAAAAATTTTATGTCTAGTTAAACTTCTTTTGTATGAGTAAGATCTTTCACACTGATCACACGAATATAATAGTTTTTTTGGTAATTTTTTTGTGCTAAGTTTTCTTTTCTTTGCACGTTTCGATCTTCTCTGTTTTGATGGATGTCGTTTCGACGTGTTATCATTTGTCGACTCATTTTTTACTGCTGTACTTTTTTGTGATTCTAGATGTTTGGCTTTTTGCGTTGATGTAGCTAAAATCCGAAAAAATTCTGATAGATATAAATATAGATAGTGAAGTCTCACAATCGAATTCAAGTGAAATATACCACAATACGGGGAATTGCATATTAGGAAAAAAAAAATGTAAAATATAACTATATTAATTGACTATGTATGTGGTTGCAACTAGAAAACTGGAAAATAATTATTTAATTTTATAGGAATTTTAAAATATAAAACCGTTAAGCGTAAGTACCAAAGAATGATGCAAAAATTAATTTAAAATAATTTGTACTAAAATAGAAAATAATGTCATTAAATATAGAAAAAATTTCGAAATTGAAACTTACCTTCAATCAACAATCTTTTTAAAATTGGTTCTTGAGTATTTTCCGATAAACAATGAGCATATACGTTTAATAAACTTTCCTGTTCTGGTTCATCCAGCAATAAATAGTCCCGTAATTTGATATTCATAGAACGTTTCTTTGTAAATATGATGTATATAGACATTATTTTCAACATGATATTAGGGTAGTTTGAAACATGCAATTGTGAATAGAAAAAATGAACAATCGGTCTGTTCAAATTTGTCCTTAAAAATTAAAATTTTTCTTCATCGTGTTTTACACCTTTTTCGATCCTGCAACACAAAATTAAAAAAAAAAAAAAAACAATAAATATTTTGTTTATAATTACATCAAGTACAACAACATCATTGCACAAAGCATTGCCTCATTATAACAACAAGCACAAAATAAATAACAGTAAAAATAATGTCAGAGTCGCATATTAATTATAAGTATTTTTTCAATTTGAACTCAAACTTTTCATTTTGTTGTAGCAAAGATGATTTCGGCAAAACACTGTAAAGTTACTTTTTCATAAAAAAGTATATATGTANATTTAATTTTACCTCTGTTGCTTATGTCAGCTTTGAATGGCATCCGTTTGCATCTGTTTTTTTGGTGAGACTTTAAGCTTCGTTCGTGGGAGTAGGAGCAATCACAAAGATCACATAAGTATCTCAACTCTATTATTTCGTTCCCAGATTTAATGGTACCATTCTAGTACGGTAGTTCTTTATCTGTAAATGAGGATAAATCATGAGCAAGCTCAACCGCCAGAGGGCAGCAGGACAAGCTACTACCAAGAGATATATAGATATATTATTTGAATACTGCTTATTTACATTGTTTCATAAAAAAATGTATAAAAAGTATTTACACTGTTGCTTTTAGCAGTTTCTTAAATTGACTTATATTTAAAGTACCATAATAATTCTCTTTGGAAATTTGCTCATTCATTCTTAAAATTTAAAATCTCCCGCTCTCTCATATACAAGTAACAATGAAAGTGTATTGGTGAGACGCCATGATAGATAAACCGATAAACCGTGTTTAAATAATATATCTATATCTCTAGGTAGCATCTTGTCCTGCTGCCCTCTGGCGGCTAGGCTTGCTTATGATTCATCCTCATAGGATATTAATGTTATAAGAATAAATAAAAGTTTCAAGTATTCCGTTTAATTATATATTAATTATAATGTTTGATAGTTATTGTTACTATGCTTGAAGAGGAATGTTGTAAAAATTGTAGTAGGATAGATATTAGTAGGACACTGAGACATAAATTTGNGGAATAAAAAAAAAAAACAATAATAATAATAATCACAACGAGTTTCAGTTTTAGTTAAAAGCTAATTGCTTTTTTGACACTTGTTTGTATGGATTCACTCGGATGGCAAAAAGAGCTTTTTGAGAAAACTTTTCCTCTACGCACCTTTGAAGCGGCAGAAAAGTCGGAGGATGCACGGAAACCCCCGAGACTCGTGGATACAGGGATGCATCTGCACCGAAGTGAAAATAAAGAGAGGAAAAGCCGCGAGGGGAAAGAAGCAGCCAGCGAAGGGCGCAAATCTGAAAACAAACTGCAGCTTTACCCGCGCGGGTTCAATAATAACCAATTATGTGCGGCCTGAGATCATAAAGCAAACCTTGGATTCCAGAAAAAAAAAAAAAAAAAAAAAAAAAAAAAAAAAGAGGAAAATCCAACTCGTGATACAGTAACGCAGTCGAACGGAAAAGAAGAAAAAGAACCAGAGGAAGAAATGAAGGGAAAATACGCGAAAGCTCCCGAATGCGCAGCGGTATCATCACCACGGGGGAGAAATAAAAAAAGAGCTCTGTGTTGATGTACAAAGAGAGAGAGAGAAGCTACAAAAAGGCTCGTATATAAAGTAAGTGACAAACGACTCGTTCGTGGTCTTCTCTGATGCCGTGCAAGACACACGTTACTGCACGTAATACACATGCTATGCTCGTGTTTTCTTCTTTACTTTTTTTTTTTTTTTTTTCTTTGTCTTCCCTATATTTCACGTCAAACGAACTGTATCCCTGGTGATATTGAGAAAGGTCACGAATCCACGGCCAGTAGATACGCACCTTGCGTTGGGGGACTCGAAAAAATTTTAATTTTGTGTTAATTTTTCGAAACGAGACCAAGACTCGATTTCGGGTATCAATTTTCACTACGGGACGATACGTGTTGGAGAAAAAAACAAAATAAGGCAAGAATGCTTTCACAAGATTNATATATATATATATATATATATATATATATATATATATATATATATATATATATATATGACTACCACTATGATAGTGAAACGTAGTTTGATTCTTACCTAAGCGTGATTCTTCCATATGTGCCGCTCTATTGTGGACTTACGCATTGTACCGTGATTACAATGTTCACATATAAACGCAGGCTTTTTCGTCCCCTCGCAACCATATTTAACGTGCCGCGTTAAGCCACCTTTAGTATAGTATGTCTTTTTGCATTTATTGCATTTGTGTATTCGTTTTGCCTTCGTGGATTTAACTTTCGATGCAACTGTAACAAAAGACTCTTTAAGTAAAAAGTCATTCTAATTTTCCATTAAAAACTGCAAATTTCTTTCGTAATGGGACTAATTGCAACTAGTAATATCTTTTTTTAAATTTAATTTTACCTCTGTTGCTTATGTCAGCTTTGAATGGCATCCGTTTGCATCTGTTTTTTTGGTGAGACTTTAAGCTTCGTTCGTGGGAGTAGGAGCAATCACAAAGATCACATAAGTATCTCAACTCTATTATTTCGTTCCCAGATTTAATGGCACTCACTGAATTGTGATCTAAAAGTAAAACGTAATTCCTCTGTTATAAATGTTCAAGTACAAATTCTATAGAACACTAATTTTTTTGTGGCAATGTATTTAAATCTCACCCATGTCGTGCAACGGGGTATTTCTACCCAAAGAACAAACACTTTTGGATCTACGCTGTCTTTGGTATTTGGAACGCCAATTAATCAATTGCTCATTTTCCGACTCGAATGTTTTGGAGCAAATCTCAAAATTGTAGCATGTGTATGGCACATCTAATGAGGGTTTTTTCTCAGGAGCATCAGTAGTTGTAATTTCTGAAGCATCTGAAACGCACGAACAACAAATTATATACGGCTAGCTTTTTTTATCTGTTTTGTAGTGAAGATTTTCTAAAGTATTAAGTTACAAAAATTACAGTTAGGACTTTTAAAAAAATGGCTCATGCCCCGTAATTCCTACAAAAATCAACACAATGAGCAGAACTCCAACAAAAACTATCATAGCTATTATAGACTAATAACTTAAGCAAGAGGTAAGTTTAAAGTTTTTTTGACAATTTTCAAATAATTTTGAAGAAATAAAATTTCGAATAATTTTGCCAAAATAACACTATTGGTTTTTACAGCTGATTTCAAACGGTTCTTGATAACTGCAAGTAGTTGGGAGTTTATACGTAGGGCAGTTTGAAACATGCAATTGTCAATAGAAAAAATGAACAATCGGTCTGTTCAAATTTGTATAGTGATCTTGCAAACAAAAGTTGATTGCAAAAAATTACTGCCCCTCTATTTTCACCCACTACAAATAATATTCTTATTTTGTTTAATTAATTATCCTGTAAAAGTCGTAAAAAAGCATGACTTCCAAAGTGTTGTTGCAAGGAGACATGACTTGTTTGCTCCAATCGAATCAGTGACACTATTCGTCAGAATATCGTAAATCGTGTTCTAGAACAATGAAAACTACGCTTCTTTTTATCGGAGCTCTACAAGCTAAAAAAAGTCTTTATGGGATTACAGAAAATCTGAACAATGCCAGTTCCCCAAAATGCTGTGAACTGTATTTTGCTTCGTTGGTCTCTAGAAACCCATGTTTTTTTTTTTCTTATTCGTACATAGTATCTAATATTTATGATAAGTAGTCCGAGTAAATAGTAATATTCGGGAGAAAAACAAATTATTTCAAGTACACATCATTGCATCTTATACTAGTCATATCCAATCTCACCTTTCATACGCTTCCTTTGTAAACGCTTGGGAGTTGTTCTGCCAGAACAAGCACTCCTGGATCGACGTCGTTGTTTACACTCGTAGTTGGAGTTTCTGTGTACCCATAATTCATTCTTCGATTTAAATACTTTTTTGCAAACAGTACAGTTGTACCATTTCTTTCTGGAATCCACAATAGGTTTCCTTTCCGGGTCATCAATTGTAATAACTTCTGGAGTACCTAGGACATACAAAAAAATACATTAGTTTTAAGTCCTCATTTTTTTATTCAACAATGTGGGCTTATACAAAAAAAATGCAACATGAAAAATTTAACGATACTTTTTTTTTTTTGTCAAAGTACTCAATAGAACATGCAAATAATTTACATGCAGATACATAATTAAAATGCAAATAGATGTATTATTGGAACATTTGTTCAAAACTTTAAGCTTCGAGTTAATGTGATTATATACCACCTTAACTTGTGCATGAAACTTAAAATAGTATATTATTGTGTATTCCCTTTTATTTAACTTAAATCTACAAATTTTCATTTTGAATCTACATAATTCATTATTAGCACCAAAATTGACTTGAAATATTAATGAAACAAATTGAGCTCATTGAATATTGTACTAAATTATATTGTACAAAAGTTTAGATGGCTCGAGATTCTTCCATTACACTTGATTATGGCTGGGGTGTACTTGAGACGATCGCAGTGCTCTGTAAACAGTAGTAGGATGAATGGCCGAGTAATCTGAGGAGGGAACTTTGCAAGGGACCCGCACGAAAGACTCGCATTCTTGTGGAAAAAAGATGAGGGATTTAGGATTCGTAAGAATTACGCAATAAATATACGTGGAATTGAATACTGTACTATATCATAACATTGTAGTATAGAATATTTTTATAGTATTTAGACACATCAGTGTAAATGTAAATGAAACTATGTAAGCAATTTTTTAGTCATATATTTATCCGTTCACATAAACATATTGAAAAAAAAAAAAAAATTCTATAAAATTATAAGCTTGTGGNGTCTAAAAACTCTATATTTTTCCTTGATGTTTTAAAAGGCAATGCACTTTGACACTCAGCTTATCTTTGCTTTTGTAATTACAATAGTGGCATTTGAAGATTTTGATGTATCCTGTAACATAAAAAAAAAGTAATATACAGCAACTACAAAATGAAATACATTTAGTCATATATTTATCCGTTCACAAAAACATATTGAAAAAAAAAAAAAAATTCTATAAAATTATAAGCTTGTGGTGTTAATTTAAATTTCTTAATATATTAGTACATGAACTTTAAGTCTATTGTATTCCAAATTCATTATACAAATTAAAATGATTTTTTTGTGAATTAAGAACTACTTTATTAGTGATGATTTGTTATTCATCAGTTACATAAATGTAGTTCTTCTCTTGATTCGATTATGATCTTGTCATCACTCTAGAACAATGAAAACTACGCTTCTTTTTATCGGAGCTCTACAAGCTAAAAAAAGTCTTTATGGGATTACAGAAAATCTGAACGATGCCAGTTCCCCAAAATGCTGTGAACTGTATTTTGCTTCGTTGGTCTCTAGAAACCCATGTTTTTTTTTTTCTTATTCGTACATAGTATCTAAT